AAAAAAAAAAAAAGACAAGAATTTCTTAATTTTCTCCCCCAATACCTATAAACTTCCCCATATCTGTCCCCACCATTCCCTCCTTCCCTCCACTCTGAAAGGAAACTATGTGCCTTTGTCATAGCTCATCCCCCCATCTGTGTTTCCAATCACATCCTCCCCAGGACCAAGGTATTTCCCCAGTTTCATCCCAGATTCTTCTAGATCAAACTCTCTTTCTCATATAGTTCCTATTGTTAGCTGAACAACTTCCCCAAGTCATTCCCACATGAAGAAGACAGCACCCTTGTGTGACAGAACAGGCAATGTCCTCATGCTCTCGTCTTCACTGTCGCTTCACTCTCCAGTCACAATTTTTCATCACTGACCCCACCAGAACTCTCCCAGAAGCCGCCAGCCATCTCACTCCATGGCCACAGCCCTTCTCAAGGTCTCTCCTCCATCTCCCAGTTTTGTGTTCTGAGCCTCCTTAGAGATGTCTCTGGGCTGTTTACCCTTTAAATGCATTTGGGGTGGAATTTTTCTCATCTCAATTTTCTTTGAAATTTGCTTACAGGTGTTTTAAACACTTTCTGTGTACATTCTGTGTACTCCGCCTATAGACTACAAGCTCTTTAAGAGTAAATGTATGCCTGCTCTTTGAGTAATCTAACACACTCTAGCATAAAAGTCAGTATAACATTCAGCAAGTTATATAGATCCTTGCCCATTTTAATTATTAAATAAGGAAAACAATTACTGTAAAACACTGAAGCACAAATGACAATAGAAATTAGAAAAACAACAGACCAAAAAGGTTAATAATCAAAATAATCTCTTTACTGGTGGTCCAAAAATTAAGAAAAAGAAGTTTTTCTTTAATAGTCAGGAAAGCATTAGTGAAACTTGTAATTGGTAGTCAAATGCTTAGATGACATCTATATCCCAAAAGGAGTTTTATTCTTACTGTCATGTGAAAATTAAAGATTATACAGATTCAATCTTAAAATACATAGTTACTGAAAAATCACCTTAAAATGAAGAAGTTAATCACAGTGACTATTACAACAGAACATTTTACCTGAAGATGATTAAGGGATAGGCAATCTGCGGAATCTTCAGCAAAACCACTGCTATCGGAATGCTGACTTGCAGTACGTAACAGATGATCTGTCAATAAAAAAATGCAGTTATACAAACCCACTGAATAAGATTCTACTAAGAGCAATATCATCACAGACATACGATTCTCAACAGATATTAAGATACACAACACAGATCCCTTCTTAGAAAAGTGTGCATTACTTATGCAAAATTGTGGCTTCCAGGCATAAGAGGTCACTCAAATTCAACAAAAGTAAATCAGATTTTCTATCAGAAACTCTCAGTATTCAATTGTTAATTAAGCCTTAGTAAAACTATTTTGGAAAATTCAATTAATGTCTTATCCTTGGAGGACAGCTGGCTGAAGTAAAATACAGCTCTAATAAAATCAGAAGTCCCAAAGTAAACCATTCCCATTATGTAAAGATATCTGGGAGGCAAAATTAGAAGTTTAGACGTATATTATAGTGTGTAAAACTTTCTATCATCTTCCTAATAAGAAAATAAAAATATAACTACAGCCAATAAATTGAATAATTTGAAATACAAGGATACTTAAATGTCTCTGCTGTTTCATGTTTCAAATGATGTATTTGTAAGTTATGACATAATTCTTTCATAACAATTACATGAAACTCCATCAAACAGGTGCAACTAATACATTAATACTGCTAATTTTACAAAACCCTTCTGTTTATTTTTCTGCCTCAAAATTCAATTCTTGGTTAGTATAACCTTAAAAAATGTTTTACTTAAGGAAATAGGCCAGCTAAGCACAGCAAGCACGACCACACTCCATACATGAGACACTACGACTTTGGGAGAGACTTCCTAGTTATCACATTTATCAAAGGCAACACTGCATCAGACAGGAAAAATTATCCAGAAGTTCGAAAGCAACATGCTAAATAAAATGTTTACCAGAACCATTTCATTTCAGATTTGAACCATATAAAGAACCCGAAAATATAATTCAATAAAATATGTAATCTGTTGAAGTTCACTTGGTTTTAAAAAATATTCCACTGAAGACTCAGTTTCCATGGGATAAAATAATTTTCCCAATTAAAAATTCAGAATAAGTTTATAATATTGTTTTGAAACTTAAAAACTAGATAATCAAATGTAAGGAATTACTCCCTATCCTTGATATGTCTAGTAAACTGGAAAAATTGTGAAACTGAATTGCAACAAGCTATTACCATCAGTACTGATTAGCATTATATTAATGAAATCAACATCTTATGGCATAGCCTTATGGCACTGCAGTCATCACTAATTATGTATTTGCATGCCTTTTTAAAAAAACTAAGTTGTGAGGCTTCTGAAGGCAACAACCTTATGTAGTCTTGTTTGTATCCCAATAGCTAAAATAAGCTGGTAAAAAATAAGGTTTGCTGAATGAATCAATGGTTACTACTTCTTACTTCCTTAAAGCAACAACAGAAGTAAGCACTCACTTAAAAGATTTAGAAGTGAAATCATCTATCTGGTTGGACCAAGGTCAGCTGTCTGAAAGCCCAGGGCAACAGAGGGAGCAGCTCTGACCTGGGTTCTCTGCTAAGGTCTGTTGTATCTGCAACAGAGTGCAGTCTGCTGAGTTCATCTCACAGTCACTGAGCCCTGTCTGGGTTTACACAGGTTAGGTCTTACTTAGATTACTGAGGTTTCAGAACAGGTGTTGGGCAAAGGAAAGAACAAGGAGGCCCGAGTTCATGTTCCTGCTGGGTTTCATCACCACAAGCAGTAGCTTCTCTCCTCTGGAAAATGGAATAATGCTTCTATCTCACGTGGCTACTTCTGGAACTAAGTAGAATGTAGATGAAACTATTTTATAAACTATATTTCTGTTCTCAGAAAGACACAGTTCTTAATAGAAAAGAGTGGAAATAAAAATGATTGTATCTCTGTTCTGAACATGTAAAATGTGATTTCTGACTAAAAACTAGGAAGGTGGAGGAAACATTAAACTTAGAAAATAATATGGAAATTTTATTTCTCCAACATAAAAAGAAAGAACTCTATATATTCTACTAAAGAATATATTGTATGTCTTTTATAGTAAGAAAAAGTGTTGGACTTCTTTTGACAGATCTATCAAAAGGTAAAAAAAAGACTGAGTCATTAAACCTCCCTGGGTTCCAGTATGTAAATATTAGACTGGATTTGAGATTAAGGCAAGTTCCATCAAAAGTCCTACTACAAAAGTACTATACACATACTTACTAAACTTCTGAAGTAAATATATTACTTGTGATTCTAACTCTGCAGTTAGGATCAACCTAAGATACTTACATAGCTCATTATCCAAATTTGCTAGGCTACCTTTCAAAGTGACAAAAATAGCTCATGAAGTATCTTAAAAAGTAATTTTACTCTTTTTTATATCCTCCTTTTGACACACAGCAAAGCTGCTTTATCCAAGGTATCCCTTGTCTACTCATCTAGCGCAAGGACTCCACGATTACCCTGAACTCAGGTCAGAAACACATACATACATTTATGAACTTACAAGGGGAAGACATTTAAATAGCAAAGCTTGGCTGTGCCTAGCCAGAGTTATAGTGACCTGGTGATAGTGGAGCTCTTGTTTCTGAATCCGTATTACAATGAAAGAAAAATTCTATGCAAATTCTCTCTTATGAAGTAATTTCAGAGAACAAACATGTAATTTCCTATTTTAGGAACATACATATGAATCTGTGTTTAAAATAAAAAAAAAAAAAACAGGTTGGTTCAGCGTATGTAAAGCTTTAAAAATAAATAGTCCTACCTTCAGCGGTCATTTTAACTTCTTCCTGTCCCTTTGTCTACCTCAAAAGCTTTGTAAATTTGACGATCTGACTTTTTCTTTCTTGTTGCAAGTTAAAAGTGCAAGAATGGATTTAAAAGGTTCTTTGGTCAATAATTAATAATTCAAGAGAGGAATGTTATCTACAGCCACTCACCTTTGATCCACAGTTTGAATGTAATTTAACTAGGCTCACCTATTGCTGAAAAATGGGTGGTTTTTGCTAGAGACATATTTGTATAAGAAACCTAGTAGTTATATTTAAATAATAAATGCCCACAGATGGATGACACAAGTATGTGTTTCAATCACAACAATGTAAAAGGCAGCCCTACTTCCTATATAATCCTTATGCAGAAGTGAAAAATAGAGAGAGCACACAAAGTTGTGTAATAAGGTCATTACAGAATAAGCTAAATAATTCGCTTACGAGCACAAAATTCTTCAAGAAAATACAAAAAATTCTACAACCAAATGATAATGAAGCATATCTGCCTGTGTTCTTAGTCTTTTTATACTTATAGGTACTGCAAATACGGATACATAAAGGTCCTTTTCCAAATAAATTCACAACACTTTGTAAGTGTGCTTGGAAATTAGTGGATATTGTTCTACTTACCTCTTTTTGACTTGGTGAGACCCAGCTGGTATGTGGCGGGAACATGAGGAGCTTCTCCCTCTGTACTTTGAACCTAAAAGATGAGTTTAAAGTAGTTAAAACTAAAAGAATCAAAGAATACACTCTTGATAACTATCTTTAAACACATCATCCTAACGAACAGTCCACCAAAGCATTATATCTGTGTGTGTAACTTAAAGACATCCTGTCTCAAAATTATATTACAGAATGTTTCACAATTCAATTTTCTGATCTACTTTCCAGTTAACAATAGCACTCATTTGCAGCTTACGAAGAAAAATAACTGCATATTCGAGTCATTGCATTAAAAAGGGTTGCTATTAGATGACAATTAGATCTATAAGATACAGTTCTTCTCTAAGTGCTAAAAGTAGGGTCAATCCCAGGAGAAATGCTAAATGCTCCCTCCAGCAAACCAGGGCCCACACACAATTGCAGCAATTACACGTGATGTCTGAAAACGGAACATTGTGTTCCCACTGCAAAAGTTTCTAAAATCCCCCCCAATTTTTAAGAATCAAAAACAGCTCATGTATAAGACAGCTTTGTCCCGACATAAATGTTCTTTCAAGACATAACTTGGGAATGTAAGTGGAAAAGCAGGTTTCACTGCAGAACTAAAATGAGCCATAAATCCTTCCTGAAAACTCTGTTCAAAGAAGGTATGAAACCCACAAAAGTTGTCTTTTTGTGCTGCCTTTCTTTCCTACCTGCACAAACAGATAATTAGAAATTTTCCGATTCCTAATCACCATCTCCAGCCTGCAAATACTTGATTCTAACAAAAAACTAACTCCTATATGATTAAACATTTGGGGGGGCAGGGGGAGGGGAGAAAGGTGCACCAATTTCCTCATTTGTCTTATAATGATTAGTACTTAAATAGTTAATTACATCCTGTGAAGTACGCAAGCTAGCCAAATGCATGAGTTTCCAACGTTGAACAAATCAGAGAGGAAAGAGCAAGTAGGTTTTAGATAAAACTCTGGTGGTTTTGTGCTATGAATCTATTCAAGAATAAGAAATAACCACCATGAAATGTAAGAGTGAAATAACTACCATAAAAAAAAAAAAAGATGAAAGGTTAAAAGATATTATTAGCCAATTTAAAAACTGTTCTAATTTTTAGTATCTTTGTTCTATATAGTTCCCTGAACCCAAGTTTACAAATATTTGAAAACTCAAAGCACACTGGTCATTTAAAACCACACCTATAAATCAGATACATAAAATACGTTCTGCTATTCTCTGTCGTTATTTAAAAATTGTAACATATTCTTCAAAGCAGCAGACACCAAGTTCAACAGGAAAACCATTGTTTTGTATGCAAGAGAACAAAATGAGTTTTCTTTTTATATTCAACAAAAGGTCTATTATTAGCCTCTATTCAAGCCCAACCTTCTTCAAAGAGCTTTCTATAAACTAAATATCAACCGTATCAAAAAACTGTTAACAGAATCCAAACTCTTTATTTCTATTCTAGGAATCTCAGCTTAAGCAAAGCATTATGACAAAGCAAATTATAATCTCTCTCTTAAAGGTAGAATTATCATATATTTTAGTTCTTTACCCTTAAAAAACTCATTCCAAAATAATATGAACTTAAAAGATGTGTATCCCCGGTGTACCATCCTTTATGGCAAAAACAAACCAACAAAAAACCCATTCCCTCCATCTCTCTCCCTCGACCCCTTTCACTACAAATTCCATAATTAATTGTAAGAAATGAGTACTTAAACAAAAAGCACAGAATTATACTTTACTAATGAAGCTACTGAAATCAAAATCATTCTTCTCACTCAGCAAAATCATAGTACCCATTTGCTGAAGAGAGAAACAGACATGCCACCGATAATGGAGGAATTTCTTACTATATTTCACAATTGATCACAACTGCACAAAAGAAAGCAGTCAAACTCAAGACAGGACACCTCACGGAGAATTATAAAGCAAATACAGAACTTAGATTTATTTCTGTGGCCCAGTTCTCCCTCTTCAATGGTTTCGAATTCTCAGTACAACTCTGGTCATTAAATTAACAAGAACAGCCAAATAAAATCGATTAGTAATAGGTGTTCATTACGTTATTTTCTCTAATCTTTCAGTTTTAAACTTTTCATACTAAAAATGGGGAAAAAAAAAAAAACTCCACTGAACCAAAACGTTAAATTCTCTTGGTCTCAAGTGTTTGGGGATGTAAAGATGTATGAAAGCTTTAGAGTAACCCACATATTTGGGTTTTTTCATTTAAAAACATGTTTTCCTAAAACAAATATTGTATCTTTCCAAACCTAAGTCCTGTTAACATGACAGGCACCCACTTGGGTTTCCTAACAGATAAATAACATTTATTTTGACTAAGAAGCATCTTCTCGGCACAATACCACTGCTCTACAGAACAGCAGTACGTGGATGTTCTGGTAGCCCTTCCTCTAAGGTTCACAAAGATACTGTATAGCTCTTATACAAGGATTATATATAAAAATAATTTTTTTTTTTTTGAGACAGAGCCTCAAGCTGTCCCCCTGGGTAGAGTGCCGTGGCATCACAGCTCATAGCAACTTCCATCTCCTGGCTCAAGCGAGTCTCCCGCCTTCGCCTCCCAAGTAGCTGGGACTACAGGCACCTGCCACAATGCCCGGCTCTTTTTTGGTTGCAGCCGTCATTGTTGTTTGGCAGGCATGGGCTGGATTCGAACCCTCCAGCTCTGGTGTACGTGACTAGCACCTTAGCTGCTTGAGCCACAGGCGCTGAACCCAAAAATAATTTTCAAAAAAATCAAAACTAGAGCTTTAGAAATTACAATTCCGTCTAATTTTTAATGACATCTCAAAAAAATTCAAAAGGGAACATTGTTTTCCAAAGTAGTACTACAGGACTGCAAAGCAGATGGTGAGTTCTTATAATATCAGCCGATCTGACCTACAGCAAGTTGTAAAGTATAGTTAAGAGCAGCCAGTCTATACAAAGAGCTGATTCAAGTCTTAACCATACTACTTATGGGATAATGGCTTCTGACAATTATCTATGATAATTATCTCAGTTTTCTTAACTACAAAATAAAGATTAAAACTTCTACCTTACAGTTTCTTGGAAAGGTCAAATGAGACTACAAATGAAAGTCCTTTGAAACAGTAAAGCAGTAAAGATGTATAATAGGAGAGTTCTCTCTATAATCCTCTACCGCAACCCCACCCTCACCGCCCTGACAGGCACTGATATCAAAGACATTATACCCTTCAGGAAGACAGTGGAGAACCACTACTATAAAGTAGTATCAAATGTGGGGGGAAATGCCTCATCATTTGAAAAGGGAGAAAAATTAGAAAACAAATTACATGATTCTACTGTGAGTGGTGGCTCATGTCTGTAAATCCTAGGACTTGGGGAGGCTGAGGCAGGAGGACCACATTAGGCCAGAAGCTCAAGACCAGCCAGGGCAACATAACCACACACCATCTCCACAAACAATTTAAAAATCAGCTGGGTGTGAGGGTATGTGCCTGTAGTCCCAGCTAATTAGGAGGCTGGGGTGGAAGGATCACTTTAGTGTGGAAGTTTGAGGCTACAGTGAGCTATAATCCCCATCACCACATCCCAGCCTGAGCAATAGTGCAAGACCATGTCTCTAATGATTAAAAAATAATACACAAGTAGGCACAGTGACACATGCCTATAATCTCCACTACTTGGGAAGCTGAGGAAGGAGGGTCATCTGAGCCCAGGAGTTCAAGGCTGGAGGGAGCATTGATTACACTACTGCACTCCCACTCCAGCCTGGGTAACAGAGCAAGACTCCATTTCTTTAATTTAAAAAAAGAGAGAGAGATTCCTTTCTGTGCTAATTTATGATTCTGTAATTACTTGCAAATTTTTTCTTAAAAAAATCTTCCCAAATTTTTATGCAAACATAGAGTTTATTTTTACAGTACAGTAAATTCTTTTTTTCAGAAAAAAAAAGTAAGAGGTATTTTAGATATATATCAAGTAACAAAATGCAGTGGTTAACTGGGTTTTGAAATAACACACATCTATGCATATGTCATGTGATAAAGTTCATACTTACCTTCAAAAAACATACAGTTAAATTTGGAAGGCCAAAGGTACAAACTATTTGTCAAATATCTGATTGATTTGGGATAATTCCAAGATTAAGTCACAAGAATAAACATAAGAAAATGCTATTAGTTAAATCAACATACTATAAAGACAGCATTAGAAATAGTTACTAAACTTCACTAGCTTATAAAAGATGATTATGTATACAACCAATAATGGTTAGATTTAAAAATAAATTCATAATAGATGAATTCATTCATACAGTGAGCAGGCCACACAATAAATTGTTCACAGAAATACAAAGACAGAAGTTCTCCTTCCTATAACATTGAAGAAGTTTTTCTCTACACCTAGAAGGTGAACAGTTGGTTGAGCAGGATCCTTTTGTTTGTTATTCATACTCCTAATCTATGGCTCCAGAGTTACCATGGTGCATTCAAAATCAACCATTCAATAAGAACACAAGAGTTACCCAAGCAAGTTATTATGGATTAGAAAATTCAAATGTGGGGTTTTACAACTTTTAAACATACTATACTATACTTTTAAATAAACTTTATGAGGCAAGTTGACTTTTAATTGAAAATAATCACTGGCCTTTTTGTTTTTCCTTTTTTTAACACGTGACATGGCTATTTTCATTCTCCTGGACCTCCATCGCTTTTCTCATTTATTTAGCTCCCTTTACATTGAAATATTTCTTCTCTTTGCCTCTAGTGACTGTCCGATCTTACCTTCAGCCTCAGACTGATTAGCTGACTTCAGGAGCACAGGCACGTCTGCAATGCTTTCTCCTACCTATCCTCCCAAAGCATCTGGTATTCACATAATCAGTCTGGGAACTGGTTCACTGAGAGAAAGAGAGCACTAACTTATAGTTACTCACTGTTTTCACAGGAAGAAAGTTCCCAACAGGGATCAAATCTCAACCGAAAGGGGTTCGAAAGAAAAACAGTCAAACTACTTTGAATGGGATCTAAAAGTCTGCTTCAGTAAGATTGTTCTCTTCATTTGTCAATATGAGTCAAATGCTTGGGAGAAGAGGAAATTAAAGCAGCACATTATTTCCCTTCTTTATCCATTGTTCTACAGGCTCTCTTTAAAGTTCCCAAAGGGATAAAAACACAATTCTAGAAGGTTTTCAATCCATGCTTTAAATACATCTGAAGAACAAGGATTTATTATCCTTAAAATACCTTATATTTACAATGTCGCTATGGTTGACCATGTATTCTTTTTTGAAGACAAAAATCTTCCATTATTCTTCACTCCCCAATGTTGCACTTTAAAAAATTTTTCAGAAAAATAACGCATTACTTTCTTCATTAACTGTTTTTGCCAGCAGAGGGAGCAAAAAATATATAAAACCTAAAGTTAACTTGCCACCAAAGAGGATCTAGCACTTTGGTCTTTGTTTAAAAGATCTTCTATGGTATCTTAGACATTAAAACACACACACACACACAACTCTGTAGCTTAGAATTCAGAATTCTAAAAATTAAAAAAGAACACTGACTTCTGTGAAAATACACATTAAAGAGTGCTGTTCAATCTGAGTCACCAATATCAGACTCAGATTTGCAACTACCTAACATACTTTCAGTGGACTTTAATACTCTACTATTGTATTAAAACAAGGAAAGTGATTTTCATGTGTAACTGTCATAAAAGAGGGGCCTTGAAGGAAAGCAAGAATTTATATTTCAATTTTGAGTGCTGGGATATGCTTAGGCCAAAACAACATCAAAAAGAAATCAAAGAGTGAAGCCGAACAAAGAGAAGTTTTAACGTAATCATCATGTAGCCCTTTCACACTCAATGTGAGAAATAAATTATGCCAAAAATTATAAAAATAGGAGCTATACAAAAATACATAAAGAAATAAAATAAAAATAATCTCACAAGAAAATCTAAAATATTCCAAAGGGCTGATCCTGGTCTTTTTATTTCATTTTTAGTAACTGAAGTACTAAAAGACTACAAAACAGCAAACAGCTACTTCAGCAACTAAAATTTTGTAATAAATAAGAAATTCCCACTAGTGTGAAAGAGACACACTCATCTAAAAGGATCTTTATGGGAAGAATCAATTATCTTGTTTCCTATTCCCTAAATTAATAGCATGTGAAGCTAAAACTACTGTGAACTATTACTAGAATTCATCTTTTGTAATAAATTTTAAAAAGAAAAATTACACATTATATGATGTATAGTCACAACTCTTCACCAGCACAAATGTGATGCTGTTTCCTCACATGTACAGTAAGACCGTGACTACATGCCTCACGGACTGAGATAAAGTATTTCAAGGGCCAAGTACACTGCCTACCACAGCGCAGGTGCTTGATAAACTTGCTTCCTGTCACAAGTTATATAGCTCCAACTCCAAAGTATTAGCAACTACTATTCAAAAGCAGTTTTAGTTGAACCTCACCCAAATATTTTTACAGTGTCCATTTGAAAATTTATAGTAATGAGCAGGAATCTCTCTTGGATACCAGAATTAACCAAATATTGGTCTTCTGGGCTTGCAAAGACCCTAATCAGTGGCCTTTCAAATTTCCTTCAAGGTTCCCTCTCCTCCCCTTCCAGTGTGCATCGTCTTCTTGTTCTTTCCAGGCCTGGCCCAACACTCATCCTGAAAGCCTTTATCACACTCCTGACCACTGGTATCATTAAGATCTCCAAGGCACACAGCAACCTGTGGCCTAGGCAGAACCCAGACCCCTGTTTCATTCCAAAGCCTGAGTTTTAACTATTATGCAATACTGACTTGAATTTAAATATCCTCTCTCAGGGGACACCCTCAGGGCTTTCTTGAACGTCAAAATCTTACCCTTGGGGAAAAAAGGGGGGGTTAACGTTCAAGTATCAGCTAGTAGATGACAGAGGATCTGGAGGAGGTGATCAACTGCTCCATTACTTCCACATCACATAGTCCTGGGACCAATTTGTGGTTTGTAAAACAGAAGCCTGGAAAGTGAAATGCCTTTTTCTAGAGTATAAACCTATCAGCTACCTCTCATTTTATGAACATCGTTAGCACTTGTTTTTCTCTAGCTCACTAGCTGGTTTTTTACTTACCTCTTCCATTTCGAAGGAGTCCTTCTGCTGTGTCATTACGTGTCTTATAAATGAGATTGTCGGCAGTGCACATGGCTCTTTTTCAGGTGTGGACATATGAACATTTTTCAGCTCACTGCTGTTTTCCAGCTCACTGGAAATGCTGAAATCATTACCTAAAGGAGATTCTACAATACCAGATTCCTCACCCAGTTTACTCTCGGGACTTTGAGCTTGACTTTGTTCAGCTTCAGGTTCTTTGTTAAAATTACTACTTGCTTCATCAGAAAGTCCATCAATATCAGCACTCTCCACAACAGTTGCTGAACTACCTGAGCTTTCTTCTTTAACCGTAGCCAACATAAAAGATGAGTCTTTCTTCTTTACAATTTTTTGAGATTTTGGATCATTTTTATTGCCACTTTCTTCAATAACTGAAACATTTAGAATCTTTCCTTTTTCAGTTGTTGGGGAAGGACTACTACCCTCTCCTTTCTCTGTTTTGTCAACACATAAATTTAGTTTTGATAGTGTTTTCATTAAACGATTTGCAGTGTTACTTCGGGTTAAAGGTGGAGGTGCGTCTGTCTCCTTGGTAGAGGTCACCGAGGACATGCTTCCAATCCTCTGCAGGGGAGTCCCAGAGACTTGGGAATATAAAGAAGAAAATGCATTGGCCACAGTAGTAAGCACTTCAATTTGACGAAAACGGCCTACCAAAAGGAAAAAAAAGCATTAGTTATATGTATATGTTTGTTTACATATATATACACACATCCACAAAAACATACACTATGGTAAAAATTTCAATAACTGTATTTGGGCCACAAAAATTTTAAAACCATATTTTTGCCTCATCTAACACGTGAACCTTCTCTACTTTTATTGGGCGGGAATAAGGGAGATTTTTACTCTATACACCAGAATTTATTACATGTATTTTTAAAAGCAGAAATAAGCACAGATCCTGATGGTATGTGTAACACTAAATATCACAGGAAAAACTAGCTATTGATCTACAGCTATGATTCTGTTTTTGAGTCTTAGACTCCATTAACACTCTTCCAAATGTTTTCCTAAGAAAATGCACATAAGTATATATTTTACACTTAACTGGGGCAGAGGGGTGGATATCTAGACCTTTTAAAATGGATCCATGAACAACATAGAGAATCCTATTTTTGGAACTTTTGGTCAACAGAAAAAAAAAACAGTAAATATACGAGTGAAATTGATTTTAGATTTATAGAAAACCACTTGATAATGACTGACTTCATTTAGAGTCAACAAGGCCCCTCCCCTATTCTTTTCTTCCTGAACAAGAATATCTGGGGATAAGGATAAAGTTCTGCAAGTCAGTTATGGTAACAATTAAATGAGTCAAGAATTGGAAAGGAGGGATAAGAATAGGTAAGTTAGCCCCTATACACAGAATACATCCAGAATAGTAAAGTAACTACTGCATTAATTAGCCTCATTAGTTAACTTTCTAATGCTATTCCTGCAAATCAGTACAGCTTTACAAACAAGACCATCTTGCTGTATATGCTATAATTTAAAAATAATATCCTAACACTTATAGACCTTACTTGTTAAGGCATAATTTGGGTTTTCTACTTCCATCCGTTGCATCTGAGCACTCAGAAAGACTTTAATATCTATCCCTCTGGCAAATGATGATGAATTAAAAAATCTGGAAGGAATTTTAGAAGCAATATCTGGTTCATCGCGTCCGAATCCAAGATTATAAAGAATTTCTTCAGGATCTTCCTCATAAAGTTCTAACAATTCGGAAACACTACAAAAAGAGAAAAAGAAAAAACACGAAAATATAAAATAAATGTAGCATCCACATCACATTATGACAAATATATATTCTTGCTTTCCTGTGATAAAAGCTTTTTTCCTCAGCTTCTGCTCTTTAAACTATTACTGACTTCACCATCTTGACACTAGGGAGACAGAGCCCTCACAAAGTGTCCATTCTAAGCTGCCAGTGTGGGAAAAGCAAGCTAACCCTGAAGATCACTCAGAGACTCTCTACCATGTGATTCCTCACCTTATTTTTTTGGTCATTTTAAGAGAGTCCCAGTAAAGCAGCTAAAACAGAGTACAGATGAGGAAGAAGGAATAGACAGATTAAAGAAGAAATGAAAAGGGAAACGCACTGGGCAGTTGGTGAACGTTGGTACTGAGCGACACTCCGGGCAACGTGAGCTTTTCTGCTCGCTTTGTCCTATGAGAGGCAATTGTCTTAGGAGGGACAATAAAGGTAACAACCTGATTTCAGAAAAATAAGGGAGGAGCTTACTTTCAACTTTTCTCTAACAACTCAGAAGTAAGAGGAGGAAGGTATGGAGAATATGGGTTATACAAAGCCCTAATTCTACTGGGTATTAAACATCTATTATCCCTTCCCTGGCATGCCAGTCACAATCCAAGCTGAAGAACAGTGAAAAATTAAAGATGAAACTTGAACAAGACATTTCAATTTGCTTCAGAGAAATTGCTCAAATTCCAATGCAGCAATTTGGGTAACAGTTTAGACTGCTTCCATAGGCACCTGTATTGGCTCGTTTTAATATACCATATATTTTAAAGACCTTTGGTTTTATATGTTGAAAAAAAATTCTTAAATATCAAGCTTTAACTTAGAAAGCTTTATCTGATTCTTATGCCAGCTTAATCCCTAACAGAATGGAGAATTATGTTAACTTAATCCCTAACAGAATGGAGAACTTGGTTCTCTATAGTTAGAAGTTATTCCACTCTGGAATTCCTCCCTCACGTCGTAGATAGGGCTCAAAATATTTATGGATCCAGCAGCATTACAAACCCACCTACTTCTTTTTATTTAATATCAAGGAAAGAGAGAAAGAGAGAGAGAAAGAGAGAAAGAGAGAAAGAGAGAAAGAAAGAAAGAAAAAGAAAGAAATAGTTCCTATCAGTTGTGTTGGTCCAGGAAACACCTTGGGTTCCTTTTGATTCATACTATCAGTATTAAATCTAAAAGCAAAAAAAAGTGGTAAGAGTGGGTCATCTGTAACACTATGTGATATGTGATTCCACCATAATTTCAGAATTTTACCTGGAGACTGTCCCACTACTCTTCCCAGATCCAGTGGAATTCATACTTCTCCCTTTCTGATGAAACAGTAGTCTTCTCTCTTTGGCCAAGATATTACTGCTATGAACACAATCAGATTACACAAAACTTTATTCTCATTAATGACTTTCATTTCTAAAAATGAATACAACAGGATAACTACATACCAGTTTTCCATTTGAGCATCACTTTCATGGAGGTGGTTGGCTATAGATAAAAACAACAAACAGAGCACAACTGTTAGTAGGACCATAACTATTCTAACAAAACTACTAAGAAAGCAAATTACCTATAATATTATAGTTAAATGTCTATATGTCAAACTCTTGTCTTAGCTCATTAAATCTGCACTATTGAAAGTAATACACAGAGAGACAAGAACCATCCCAGAGCTTTTCAAGGGTGGTTTTATTTGTTGACGATGTAAAACTACCTCCACTTGAGTGCTGAAAGTAAAATGACCTATAAATACCAATTAAATTTCCTTAACAGGTTAAAAATAAGTCATGAAGAAGACTTATAGGGGCTGCTAATTATTAAAAGCTTTTTATGGAGAATATTACAAGAGCAAACATGATTTAACACTAAATGCAGCAACAGTATACATTAATTTCTAATATGGATTTTTTAATACAACTGATTTTTCATGCACATAATTTAAAAACTTCTACTCATTTCAATATACATTTTCTTTTAAAAATTGCCTTGAAAAATAAATAAATAAATAAATATGAATTGCCTTTCAACTTTACCCTAAATTAAAAAATAGGTGCTGTTAATGTCTAGAGTGAGTTACATTTATTGCATTTAACCTTTATAGACAAATGTAGAGAATGGAATTATAGCCATATCTATTTCAGCACACTTGAATGGGATTAAGTACAGACATATCTCTTTCAGCACATTTGATCTTTTTTTTTCATTTCCAAACTGCAAAGTCATGGCAATTTTGTTGTTTTGTATATCCACCACAAAGATGCCTAACACACAGCCCTCAGGAAATATTTATTTAATGAATGAAAAAAGCCTTGAAATACATGTAATTTTCAGTTAAAAAAACCCCCAATAGCTCCATTATTTAATATTATGAAACTAACAAAGCAGATATCAAAAGTACTATTTATAGAAATACTGAAGTACGTTTTAATAAGGGATTGACAACATGTTCCAACTGTACTAATTAGGAAGCAGTAAGTATAAGCTCACCCCAATATTTGTTCCTTGAAAACATATTGACAAAAATAATAAAAACCAATATATCCACATATTCTAAAATTTTCAATGTTAGAAGATTTTAAATAAGTATTCTATTTTGCTGACAGATTTAAAACAACAAAAGATGAAGGATATTAATCTCAGCAGATAAATTCATTATTCATCAACTTACAAGGTTTAAAGATTTAATAAAATTAATTAAATATATATACACACACACATTAATAACCCAGCTCTATAACCTATTCAAACTGATAAAACTGAAGTACAACCAATAAGCTATAAATTAGCTTTTAAAAATACCAGTAAAATAATTAAAAACTCTTAGTTTCATGTGGTGGAAACCTGTCTTATAAATCCACTAGAAAACATTACATAACCTGTAAAAATTTAAAAATAGCACAACTTTTAAAAATACTAATGCACTCTGGAATTGGTGCCAGCACAATGGTTTCTAATTAAATTCTACTAATTCTGCTATTTCTCCTTTGTCCTTTAATCTTCTAAAAATCAGTAAAAAGAGGAAGGGGAAAATGAGATACTAAATGCAATATAGAAAGACGAGCTACAGCTGTATGACATGAGTCTACTTCACACTAAAAATAAGCTTCCATTTCGTTTTCTCATGCATAAATATTTAAGCTTCCTTCCTTCTTTAGGAGGATTCTTCCCTCAGTTATATTACCACACTCCGTCAGCAACAGTTCCTTTAAGCACGTAAGTCCAAGTAAGACACATTTCACAATGGTTTTTCAGAGCCATTCCTACACGTTATCTTACGGCAATGGCTAGATTATTAACCTATTAACAAAGGTACTATGAAAAGTGTCTTAGTCATTTTTAAGACCTTTAAATACAGCTCTGAGGATCATAACCCGAAAGTCCTCAACTTTTACATTTTTTGTTAATTTGGAAAGTATACAAAAATATCATTCTTGCCAACATACCTTCAGCTCCCAAAGACAAATCATCTTCAAAACTGCCCCCATTTCTCACAAGCACACCTGAAAGAAACATTTGAAAATTCAGAACGTTCATCTTGGGGTTTTGTTCTTCCCAATTCCCATATAGCTAAAACAAATAGACCCAGGAAAATATTTTATAATATGCTGCAAAATGTTTCAGATGGGAATGTAGTTCAAAATTAATCTGATTATATAATTTCAAGAAATATACCTTTTTACTTTATTGTAAGACTCATGTGCAGCCATGTAAAGTTCTCAGAAGCCAATCAGCAACCTAATTTATACTCAGCACACCTTTGAAGATGTTCAATTAGATAATGTATCTTCCCCTAAGTTTCACGGAAAACCAGATCCCAAAGCAATCACTCTTCCTACCTACCTCAGGAGCACAAAAGCTAGATTTTCCCGACACTGTAAATGTTTTTTATATGCCTTGCCACTACCTGCACATTCTTGTTGTACTTTGAACTTTAGAATTCTGTCTTGCACAGGTGGTAAAATTTCAGGTGTGGCAATTTCAGTTAATGTAAGCAAAGAAATACTGCACTAAAGTTGACTCAACTCTACTTCACTCCATACGTATTTTCCTTATATTTACATATCACATATTTAATTAGTCTTTATAATATCTAACTGGACAATAAAAATATAAGTTTCACATTGTGGAAAGGTTCAGTAATTTGCTTAAATGCACCACTTTATGGTTTATAATAATGTTTCTCCCTTTTGGCTTTTAGCTCTAAACAACAAATTTTGTAAACATGAACTGATTCACTTTTTATAACTCATATATATACAGTTTCACCCAGAGAGCAAATGAAGTAAGACTATAGAATAGATTTAGAAAGGCAACTTTCTCTTACCCTTGAGTGTACTACTGCTTTGCTCATCCAGTGAGGCTCCCAAAGGTGTACTAAAAGCACATAAACATATAAACCTTAGTCTCGGGAAAAGTTGTCTGGAACAGTTGTCACTATACAGCCTTACTTAAAGGATTACAGCTATGCACACTTCTAATCACAGTTAAACTCTCCTCCCAAAACACACAAGGCATGCAAGTGGATTACATAAGTAATATTCTACTAACTAAGCAAATACCTACTGTCAAGTCAGTTTACTGGGAATGATTTTATCACATGTTTGATCTGCCAGCAATTAAGAGCACTTAAGAGCAGGAATGGCAATTACAAATTACATGATTTGACAATTTCTTTGCAAACACAAAACAAAACAAAAGAACAGAATGACACTAGGTATTAAGAAAATGTCTGCTCCTCTCAATCCCATCCATAGATACAGAAAACAGAATTTGGAGAAAATGAATCTTCAGTAGTAACTTCAAAAAATTTAAAAGTTCAGCGTAATTAGCCAGAAGGCTCAACACTTTCCTTAAACCTTACGTTAATCACTAGCATCTCAGAGCACCACCTACTGCCTCCCTTGCCCAACAACTATCTTTTCAACGTAAATGGAGAAGCCTGGGATTCACTTTTCTGATTTTAAACTGAAAAATACATATAGTCTTCATTTAACTTTGGAAAGTACTGAAAAGTTGGCTTGATAGCCACTACTAAAATTTTTTCACATTCTTGTAGGGCAAATAGAAATGACTTAGAAATTTCTTTTTTCAAATACAAAAGTACTCGGAGTTCTCTCAAAACTTAGTTATAGTAAAGAACACAATGTTTTATTTTGAAAATTCTATTTTGTGATGCAAACTTTTCTTCCTTATTCTTGTTAAAAATTCACATCAGACCTGGGATAAATCATGAAAATATGTTTCAAAAAAATGTTACTAAAATGGGAATTAAATGTTACAACTTTCTGCAAGCAATGGCTGTTCTTTGAAAATTAGTGCTTTTGAAATGTCAAAGAATCACAAGCAATTAATAAAACCTTTAAGTTTTTGTGTATATTTTAATAATATTCTAATTTATACCATTAAAAGGTCATTTTTCTTTCCTGATGGCTATTTTCTTAGTTAGATCAAAACACTGTATTATTCCACCAGCAGATATTTCTACTGGTCTACATGCTAACAGAAAATGGCAAATAAGCAGACTATAAATGGCATTCCCCTTCAAAAACAAATCTCACTCTTTCTGATAGAGTGAGATTCTCCTTTCCAAATTCCATCAAAATCGCTATTCTTTCTTAAATGGTAACTCAAGCAATTTGTTTCCACTTAGTTAAAAAAAAAAATAAGGATTCCTTTCAAAGAAAGAAATATGGTATCTTTGTTCAGAATATGGATAGCAATAAAAAAAACAGAAAATATTTAAGGACGCATCATGGGAGAAAATGGTATTCTAAGGTCATTTGTACATAATGTACAAAATATACAGATGCCCAACTCTGGCAAGGAACTTAAATTGCTATGTTAAAAAAAAATACAGTTGCAACATATCCTAGCAGTTGAATCCATGATATTATAGTCGACATTAAAAGACTACTTGTTCTAGCTTTCCTGGTTACAAATGAATGATGCCTTTGTATGGAATAAGTGCAATTATAGGAAACAAAAAGGAAACCTATGAGAGAAGGAACAGCAGACTACAGAATCTGCTCACATAAATCAGTATGAAGAACAAAACTTCTGGAATCTTCAGGGATGATTATGTCCTGGTAAATATCAACATTTGCCTATTCTATTTATCTTAAAAAATGTACTTATTTACTGTCCATTTGATACGATCTCTTATACAATCTTAATTTTTATGCATCAAAAAATAAAGTGATTCTTCTCTTGCTTTTAATTTTTTTTACTCTTTTGAACATACACTTCAATTTAAACAATAAAACTCTATAAATTTATTTTGAAGCCAAACCTATTTTAAGATACCAAGAGTTAAGAGGAAGCCAATACTGTACTTAGGACTGTGTTTAAATCAAGAATAAGATGAAAGGTTTTAGACCATCTCAGTAAAAGTAACAAAATATCCTCTTTAGGCATATTTCTAATGAGAAACTTGAAAGATAGATCTTAAAGGCTAGATCTGAAAGGTCCTGAAGATGCTTATTTAAAAATTTCAATCTTCTGGGTTTTATGCTATTTCAGTACTTTACAATTAAATGACCCAGTGGCACATATAATTCCTTTTTTTTTTTTTTTTTTTTGAGAAAGAGTTTCACTTTGTCACCTTTGGTAAAGTGCTGTGGCATCATTGCTCACAGCAACCTCAAACTTTTGGGCTCAAGCGATTCTCTTGCCTCAGCCTCCCAAATAGCTGGGATGACAGGCCCATGCCACAAGGCCCTCATATTTTTTAGAGATGAGGTCTTGCTCTGCCTTAGGCTGGTCTCCAACCTGTGAGCTCAGACAATCCACTCACCTCGGCCTCCCAAGTGCTGGGATTACAGGTGTGAGCCATGGTGCCTGCCTCATATAATTTCTTGATGTGCTCTGAGTAGAACCACCTAATATCAAGGCTATATTCTTGAATTTGAAAATCAGAGGGTTACTCTGGGCTCCAAGGACTTCAAGTGGTATGTTAGTCTGTGAAACTTTAAAGACATGTTCCAAACATTTCATGGTATCTCAGAAGGGTCTATAACACCTCCAAAAAAGGGTAAGGAGTGCTGTAGTTAAGAGTATTCAGTAAAGGTTCCAGTCAATTCATCAAAATCAGGCATTAACATAGTAGTAGCCAGTGTTTTATTATACCTGCCTTTAGGGGAGAAAAATAAACTGGCATAAATGAGAATCACTTTCAAAAAAAAGAAGACAAAGTAACTTCCCTAACTCTAGAAGCTGAAAAAGAGAAACCTATACTGAGAAAAAATATCCTCAGAAGCCAACACCAACAAAAGCAAAAACTACATTGTTCATGTAAGATTTTACACGTAGCAAATAAATTGGAAAAAAACTTTAAAATATGAAGCGAGCACCTTCACTGCAGTCAGATTTACTTGTCAAACATTTTTCTTACCAGTTGCCAAAGCATGTAATTAAACAGACTTAGGCAGTCTGAATGCCTGTAAAGCTTTATTTCCCTTCTGTGAACTCCAGGGCCATTTGACAAATCCAAGTCCAAGAAGTAAACTACAAAAACAAACTTAGCTAGTTTTAATAGTTCCCTCAACAAAATGAAGGAACAGAAACAAAATTAGAGCCCTTTTAGGGCAGTTAAGTAAATTAAATTCACCTAACACTCACCCAAAAGGGCAACGATTCGATGCCAGTTATAAACACGCCAAACAAAAGCAAAATACCCTGTGAAATATGAGAATTCTTTCAAATAAAAAGAGAACGAACATAATTCAGCATTACTATGTGTTTCAGGTTTTTGATCGTTGATGCCAACATCATGCACCGACAACCTAAGTCTTAACAACTGTCACCAAATAATCAGCACTCACAGTACTTCCATTTCTAATCGCTTAAAGGAGGAAGCTATCCGCCGACTCTCTTTCCGGTTTATAGCTTAAGACGACCACGGGACCCACAGCGACGAGGCCCGAGTCACTCTTCTTGGCTGTCCCATCAACACGGATCTCCCTCCAGAACCCAGGCAGCGAGAGTACGGACTCACCGGCAGTCCTTGAGCCATATGGCGATCTTCTCGTTGGGCACGTTTCCTGCGGGAAAAAGCGAGGGGACAGTTCGTTACCGACCCCAGAGGGAGGCCGAAGGCAGGTCACCTGGACAAGTGGGAAAGTCTCCTGGGGGCAAAATGCAGCCTAAGCAACGTCTTAGCGTCCGTCAGAAGGGAAATCAGATGGCATCCAGGTGTCTATGTTGACTCTGGAGACGCCTTGCCAAGCGCGCGCGTTTAAAGGTCGGAAGCGTCCCCTCTCCCCTCGGCCTATCAAGCCCCGAGTCGCTCTCCGCAGACGCCCAGGGCGCACGAGACTTTCCCCGGCCCTCCAGCACCCCCGGCCTGCGCGGCTCGCTGGGCGCACTGACCTCTCTCTGGGGCCGCCGGCAGCTTCGCGCTTGGGAGGTCCTCCTCGTCGTCCTCGTCCTCGTCCTGCGTCGTCGCTTCTGTGGACAGATCCTCCGTCTCCGACGCTTGCCAGGAGCTGCGGCACTTGGCCCAGGCCTTCCTCCTGCGACTCGCCACTTGCCACTCCAGTTCCTCCTCCGCCTCCGCCGAGGACGGCCGGTCCATGGCCGCACCGGGGGCTCCGCTGCCCCAGCTGGAGCCTGCGCGAGATACGGCGGCGGCGGGGACCCCCGCCCTTGCTGTCAGCGCCCGGCCGGGCAGGGGGCCCCGGGGAGCTGAAGCGGGCGCCGGAGGAGGAGGAGGAGGAGGAGGAGGATAGGAGTAGGAGGAGGAGGGGACAGGGAGGGAGGGAGGGTAGGAAGGGGAGGGAGGGGGCGGAGGGCCGGCGCTTCACATGAAGCCGGCCGGGCGCGGCGCGGGAGCGCGAGTGGCCAGAGGGAGCGCGGCTGGGAGCTGGGAGCCGAGCGCGGCCCGGCCTCCGCCTCATCCCGCGCCCCCGCCCGACGCGCCTGGGGCCGGCGCGCCGCCGAGCCCGCCCGCCTTCCCGCGGCGGCGCGCCACGCCCCCTTCCGGCCGGGGACGCGCGGGGAGGGGCGGGGGCGAGGGGAGGGGCGGGGGCCACCGGGCCCTCAGGTCCCGCCCCCGCCACTGCCCGTGGAGCAGGCAAGATTTGTCTGTTAATAATCTTTTCTTCTCTCAACTGTTCCTCCCCCATCCAGAAATAGTAGTAAAGTTGGGAGTCTTACAGAACGCCCCAGCTTGAAAAGAAGTGTGTGACTGGGGTCCCTGAAAGGTATTCATTGAAGAGCCTCCTGAACGTAGGATATTTAGTGTCCGAGGAATTTTGGTAAGGATGAAAGGGAGACGAGTGATTGGTATTGCCAAAATGTCAAAACTGGAAAAGACTAAGCTTCGTGGAGGGCTTTCCTTCTTGAAGTTATTTATCGTGGTTGTGTTCTGTGCGGAAATGAACTGTGAAAGAATATTTGATCTCAGAGCTTCACATTGAAGTGTAGGAGCATAGAGCAAAGAATGATTGAGACAGTGTAGGAAATAATTGCTTGGATTTGGGTGAGACAAGATGCTACAAGAAAGTGATGACGGGGTTCACAACTATTTTTAAAATGAGCTTCAGCTTTCCCTTTTGTTATTTAAAAAATTCATTATCAAAAAGACTCAAATTCTATCCAAAGTCAGACACAGTGTGACAACAAGCAACAAAGTCCCTTAAATGTTACATCTAAACTATCTACACATAGAAGGAAGCCTTCCAATATTTTATTGTACTTGCCTATACTCTGAAAAACAAGTTAGAACATTTTTTGATCTTAACGTAATTGTAAAGAATATTTTTTCATAAACATAGTATTTTAAGGAAGAAGTTTATTTCATTTGAAATTAAAATCAAATGATTTTTTACCATAAAATCATGGCAAAATTCCTAATGGAAACATTCAGGTTACAAAGTGACTAAACGTATTGTCATTGATAGGTAAAGGAAATGGTAGTTTGTGTACAATTTAGAATATAAAATGTCCTGGGAATGAAATGGTGCCTAGTTTTTGTCCAGACATTTATACATAAGTCATAGACTACTGAAATACCACACTGATTTTCCTGCCTGCATTCTTTCCTATCTCCCTTCTAGCACATTGCTCCCAATTTATAATTCTCAGAATGTTTCTCTATTTCTTAATGGTTTACTAATATCCTCAAAATCAAATCCCAAATCAAGACTAGCTTTTTAGAACCATCATAATATTCCCCAGGACCTTATATATTTACTAAAAAAGGTAAGTGTAACTAGAACAGTGATACTAATATCTCTGGCTTGAAGTTTTACTATTAGAGAACATTTCTTTGAACCTGTAAGGCTTTTCAGGCTTCAGGAGTCCTATAGAACAACACAGGTAACAGGTTAGTGGTCCCCCCCTCCCAAAAAAAGGCCAAAATCTAGCTGCCTGTGCAGAAGGTAATTAAAGAGAGGGAGGGAGGAAAGGAGGTACTTAGAGAAAAGGCATTGAAAGGGCGGGTCAAATGCCAGAAAATATGCGGTCTTCACAGTTTCATGCAGGGCCTTTAAGGATCCCACCGTGTCCCTCTGGGGCTTCTAGCTTCAGTTCTATATTATCCACATGCTGTTCCTAACTCTCTGTTCTTGCCTCTAAATTCATTCCTGTTGTTTTTGCCCAATATCTTCATTACTTTCAGAATCCACATGACCCAGAACTTTTTGACTCCATGGTTCCACCACTCCTGATCACATCCCTTCCACAGTTTTCCGATATGTAACAGAATGTCTACATGTCATTTATTTCCAGACTGAACTGTGCAGTAAATGATATGACTGGCCCTGGAGGGTATGTTTGGCTTACTAGCCAAATTGTAAACTGTGAGAGATCCAGGAACTTTCCTTAGTATTCTTCTTGCACCCCTTACAGTTTTAAGTACAGAGCTGAACCCAAAAGGGAAAATGAGTCCTCTTTATGTACATTTTCTATTTTTATGTCTTCCGAATAAACACCTAAATGGATAAAATATTTTTTTCATGTTACTTGTATGATGATTGTTATAGTTTATTTAGTTTTGCAGTTGTTTAAATACACTTTTAGACAACGGCAACACAGAGTTCTTGAGAAAGGCAACAGTGAACCACGGTTTATATTTTAAAATCAAACTACCAGATTCAAATAATAAAAGAAGAAAAAAAAATGCCAGCAGGTTACAATATAATAGAGTATAACAATTATTGGATCTCCAATTAGCACAAATGTCTGTTTTCTGCTGCCTGACAATTTTCAAAGCAAACTGTTGAGGATCAAGAAATAATAGAGAAGGACATTCTTGAAATAGCATGTTATTGCTTTGAGAAGTAAGGAATTTCCATCCTATTTTCAACTCTGAGATTTTTTAAATGCCCAAAGTGTTTTATTTATTCAGTAATGAATGCTACACATGAGGAGAATCTACATGTTTGCATCTTCAAGGATTTTTTTCTTCCAAAAATACACTGTATTATGGACCAACTGCTAGTCTACATTGCAAAGCTCAATAAAAAGGATATTGTCTGAGTCCTAATGCTTGTAAGGTGAAAGAAGAAACAGATTTATACTAAATGTGGAGAATTCCATCCAGCATGATCTAGTGGGAACAGTATTTGGTGTCTGGTTGAATCTTCTCCCCTCTTTTCTCAGCTGTATGGCCCAGGGTGTGTTTGGCCTGGCCATACAGCTTACTAGGGTAAGGTAGCTCATATCTCAAAGCGATGACTTTTCTCATTTTTGAAATAGCAGTTGTAATAACTACCTTCCCAAGCTAATCTGAAGATGTCATGAAATAATGTAGGTGCTCAGTACAGCTATTAGATTTATATTGCAGAAGGCAAAAATAATCAATTTCATTATGGGGGGGTTATTCTAATACTGGTAAATGACATCTATCTTCAAGTTTATGCAGCTGTACATTAAAACTGGTGTAAGTGCTGGTTAGAATGGAAAACATACCCTGGTTAAATCAGGCACTTTGAAATGGAAAAACTTAAATCATAATTGAAACATTATTCTTGGTTTAATTATTGGAGTTATTAAGACAAAAGGGAGCTGGGAAGGTTAAGGCAAGTAAAATTTCAGGCTAAGTAGGTGGTGCCTGTGGCTCAAAGGAGTAGGGCACCAGCACCATATAACGGAGGTGGCGGGTTCAAACCCAGCCCTGGCCAAAAAAATGGCAAAAAAAAAAATTCAGGCTAATTAAGTAGAGTAGCATTTTATATTTTAATACAGTTGTCTCGAGAAAATAATTCTATATGAAATAAGTATGAAAAACCCTGCATATTAATCCCCTCCTTTTCTTCCATCTTCTCAACAGTCACAATGAATGTTAAAAACTTGAAAAGTCTTCACATTTATTTTTTAACTAAAATTTGTAATTTTTTTTAACCTAGTAGTTCTAACATTTATTTCAATTGGAAATCTTTGGGGCTTCCCATTATATCTGTTAATATTTCCAGGGATACAAGTAGAATAATTTGAAAGAGAATGAAGGGAAAATATTTTTTTTTTTTATTGAATGGTAACTGTGTACATTAATGCACTTTGGGGGTACAGTGTGGTGTTTTCACACACAATCCAAGACACTTCCATCAAACTGGTTAACATAGCCTTCATGTAACTTTCTTAGTTATTATGTCAAAACATTCATATTCTACTCATAGAAAGATTCACTTGTACCCTTGCAAGATGAACCACAGAAGAGAACCCTCAAATCCCTCTCCCTCCACCCTCTCCACCTTCCCTCCCCCCAAGGGAAAATATTTGAGTAAACTCTTCAAATATTTTTCAGAGATTTATTTATAGATACCATAATTTAACTATGAAGACAAGTAGTTAATCTGACTTTGATTCTTTGATATAGTCCTATAGGTTATTATTAATCAATAAAATATTTCTTGTTTTAATATCTCCAATTATAGTATCCATTTTAAAGTGATAAAATTGATTATTTCAATTGAATATTGAATTATAGGCCTATAATTCATAGTTATTGCATATTCTTGGAGTTTTTCTGCATTACCAAAAATTAGTTGCTTTTCCTCATAAGAAAGCATTACTGTACAATCTATTATTTTTATTTCTCTCATTTCCCCAAGTATACCCCAGAAAAACAAGGTGTTAATACCACTAGAAATTTCCCTCGCAAATTAGTTCCGCAAACTACGTTGTCAGTGGCTATACTTTCTGACTGCATGTGAAAGTCCTGTCAGTTGTATCACTTACTCTCAGATCACAATTTCTTCGGTTTGCCACACAATGCAAAATGTGCCCTTTCTGCAGTGAAACGTTGGCCAGTTGGTTTTCTTTTTGTTGGCTCAATTCTCTGGTGTTTCTGAGCAACAGGTAAGAATGGCTCATCTATTCTTCATCAACAATAGAATGGAACAAGATTATGTAACAGAATCAACTTCATTTGGTCTATTTTGTGAATGCACAAAACAACTGAGAGGAGGTTTTGAAATCCTCTTTACTGGACGTAGTTACACATGAATTACAAACATTTTGGCTTTCATGTGGGAAGCCTTCATTCTCAAGTTTGGATCAGTCCTTTTTCTTTTTCTTCTGAGTCCTGCCCTAAAATGTTGCTTTTAAAGTTCTCTGATGTTGAATCATAAAAGCTCTTAAAGAGGTTTATCTATCCATATCCAATGCGCACTGTATCCCTGTGCCAGATGATATTAAGGATTTTTCTATACTATACAACAAAACAGGAAGATGTCATTATTGCATTATCCGGCGTTAACACTGCCTTATTATGTAATCAAATTATTGATACATTTTGTCTTCCATATTTAAGATTATCTTGTAACTGTTATATTACCTATATGATTACTTTCTCTTTGGAGCCATGCAGAACTTTCAAAAAATCAGTAGTT